ATTTTCAACCTATAAATGCAAAATAATGTGTAATTATGAAACAAACAAAAAAAATGTTATAAAAAAAATCAATACTGACACTTTTTTTGAGCCTAGTTGTTTTACACATCAAACGATTAACAAATATCGAATTATTATTTCTAAAAAAAAAAATTATTTGCTTTTTTTAAACATTTTTTTTTGCAAGAAATTTTCAACATTTAACAGAAATGTTTTTTGAAATGTTTTTTTATCAATGAATATCGACAAAAAAAAGCTTTTATCGAATAAAAGATGGATTAATTTTTACATGAATAATTTTATTTAATAAAAAATTATTTTTTTGTTCATAAATTGAGATTAATACTGATAAGCTTTATTTATCTTCGAAAATATTTATGATAAATAAAGGGATGAAAAATATATTTTTTATTCGAAATCTAGTTTTCTTGACAGCATCGAAATCAAGTAAAAATAGCATATATTGAGGGAGATTTTCCCAAGTATATTTCAGTATCAATCGTTTTCTAGCATCGAAATACCAAATTTTCACGGAGTGAAGATTACATTAAAATAGCATGACGTCAGTAAAAATGTATTGCTGCAGTCACTGAACAAAATTCAGCATCACGTTCAAATATAATACTTCAGAAATATAGCTGAATCTTTTATTTACATCAATTTATCCTCTTTTTCCGCTCTGATACGGTGTGATTATTAATGCAAGGTAGTGTATTGGGAAGAAAAAAAACTTGATCTAAATCACTCTAAGGGAAAAAATGAGCAGATTGTGGAAAAAATTCAAGTACAAAATGAGAAAATGGAGCAGAGGAAAATGTACATGTGGCTAGAAGAGTCAATATAATTTTTTATATTTTATCAGTAGTGAATTGGTCGTTGTGTAGGAGGCTATATATAGATATACATAAACAAATATAGTTATAATAGACCAGACGAATAGATAGACAGAAAGAGAGCGAAAACAAGTGAGAGAGTAAAGGGTTTTTCCATGGGCGTACCGCACGGCCGACCGATCGCACTCTATTGATTAGAATTCCAATTATTGGCTTCGACTGAGGGGTTGTTCTCATTCTGTCATTCTTCTCTCTTCCAATCCCATTCTCGTTATTTCAAATCTCCCGATATTGCCACAACTTTTTCGCTTCTGTTCATACGCCCGATGTCTATTATTTTATAAGCTTCATCAATGTGCTTGTACATAGATACAGAACGACGTTAATAATCATTTTGCATAATAAACAAACGATTGGAGCACACTCATAAAGGCTAGTTATTCCAATGTGCATTTATTAATATGCTCAGTTTAGCATACATGCGTACATATTTTTATAACGATTCCGAAAGAAAAAAAAAGTCTTTTATATTTATGTGTCTGGGTGCATCGTCTGTATTGCTGACACGCAATAAGTTCAAGATTAACCAGTGTCAATCACGCCATTGAATATTTTTAATCGTGCTTCATGAATACCTTGAAAGAAACTTTGTGCATCGAATATTGATCAAAGTAGACTTTGATATCCACCACTACAACACGCTCTACGCTTTAATAAGTGAAGAGTCAAGAGAGTCGAATACCATTCAAATGCTAAAAGCTTTCTGATGGTATATAACAAAAGATCTTTTGTCAATTAATGTGCCCGTCTTATCAATGTAATAACTTGGTAACAACTCTTACTCATTTACTTGTAAAATATTCAATTATGGATATCACACAAGGAAGTATTCTCAATAAAGGTCTAAGATTGCTTTGACGTTGTCGTCGATACTAGGGGATGTTTTACCTTAGTGCTAAAGACTCGGTGATCCGTCTAATGGAGTAGCAGGCTTTCCTCTTCTCGTCTCTTGATAATGTAAAAGTCATTAGCGATATTTCTATTAAATTGATCGAGCTTTCGATATAATATTATCCTTTTCGTTGATCCATTTCTTGTACCACCTCATGCTGTTGGCTCTCCAAGCATCGAACCAAGTCATGTTCACTCTAACGATACATTAATTGTCAAAATTTAGCAGATTTAACGTTTGAAATGGTAGTCTGTCCTTCAAGTCCCTTCGATTATTTCCTCTCGCTTCCAACTGTCTCATCACGCAAACATAATTGGATGGCGCATCAATCTCTGTGCTGTCTTATTAATGTCGTCGACAACCCCATAACATCCTACGGTAATTTTAAAGTAATCACTTATAGTTTTTAGTTTATTTTCTAATATCTCAATGTCCTTTCAAAATGTTGCACTTTAAATTGTGTCACAGAGAGTTAATGAAAAATATATTGGAGTATTTTATGTTTATGAAGACAATTTATTGATACATTTATAATGAATTGCAATATCGAGATAATGGATGTTAATAAATAGCGTGTTTTGAAATTAAAATTCAATGTTTCAAATATCTATTGTTATTTTTTCGAAAACTCCAATTAGTTGAATGGTCAGACTTGTTAATAATGAAACAAGCATGTTTAATTGAATAATAAACTCAATCTCTCTTATGTGTACAAGAGAAATAATATTATGTATACATTCATTGAATATTATTTAATGCATTTTATGAATTACTTATTAGAATTTTTAAAACATGTAAACTGCTGATCATGAACGAAATAAAAAAATTCGGTCAATTTAAAAACCTAACAATAGACATCCGATTACTCGAAAAACAAAAAAAAACCTTTTAAGTAGCCTTTCTTCTTTCAGAATGATGACAAATACTAGAAAAGACCGCATTGAAATATTATTTCCAAAAATCAGCAATTCTGAACATTACTAAATTACCGGAAAGTTCATATTAGTTGTTCTTCTTTTCCCTCCCAGATGCGCCCCCTATCTTCTATTACCTAGCTCTGGAGTCGAGTTCAATTTTGTCTTGTCGACTATTTCTAGTATTTTTTGGTCTCGTCTTCTCTTTCATCCCCACAAAACGCTCGAGGTTCCTGATGAAAGATTTTCAGTTGGCAGCCGAGAGTACAGAGAGCGCATGATATATACGAAATAAAAAGAGACGCGAACAAAAACCTTTCCGCCAATTCACCCGCAGCTAAAGATGTCGAGTAGTCATTGCAAAGAAATCACCCTTGACATCAACCTACTACTATGAATAAAAATAGAAAATCAAATGCTAAAATCCTAAGTAAAATCTCCACTCTCAACACTAGAGAATGAATATTTCAAATAGCATATAATAATCCCGTTAATGTGGTAGGTCAAAACAAAGACAAACAAAATAATAAAATGTGTTGAGAATCAAAGCTGAAAGCATGAAGGTTAGACTTTATTGTAAAATGATTTCCTTATGACAAAATAAAGAAACATGGTTGCAGAAAATCATCAAGACACGCTATTGTTCGTGTCTAAAGCATAAAATATACAGCCATAGGAGTTGACTTTGTAGTTGCCGCAATGTCGGAGGCAATTAGACGAATATCAGTGATAGAACACGATATGAAACAAGAGACGAAATGAGATATATTTAGCCTTTGAGCCACGTACGTCTGGCTAAACTAAACACGCATTGCTCGTGTTGGTCTTCGCTTATCAAAATTTTATCTCTCTCTTTTTTCCTTTCTAGCACCTATGAAAACTATGACTTTATCACACGAAAGTCGTGAACTGCACACTGGTCAACGTTGAGAAATAAATGGGTACTTTATTTAGATACGTGATATCACTTTGTATAATCTCAGTTTTCTCTAAACTTTTGTCTTCATTTCGTGTTAAAATTTCAGTGATTTTAGAAAACTAGAATATCTATGTACTAGAGTACCATGTAGATATGAATTACTTTATGCATCTTTGATGATGAGATAATTCGGACAGTTGCATGGCAAACTTCTCTTTCTCAACGAATTATTAACGCAGAAAAGGACATCTGATGAGAGTCTAAATCGTTGACGGAAATCTCTGTCTCTACTACGTTCGTGTCTCTGATGCTTTTTGACGTTTCAAGTACTAATGCCAGAGGCCATGATAATAACCTGGTATGCTTCGCATTTACGCTTTCAACCCCCAACTGTACCCATGAGATCTCCACTGCTCGTTTGCATGCATATCTAAATCCCAATGCCAACGGGCCTTTATAAAGTGTGTATCTAAGCCGGACATTTCTAGAGATATAACGAATGTTTTTGCCAAAAACACGAGCTGAATATTCTAGTTATATCACTACGACTCCATCTGTAAAAAATAAAGGTAGAAAAAAAATGAGCAACGAGTCCTACTGACTTAGATTTTTCGCCTTTTATACTCTTCATAAACACAAGTTGTAAGCAACTTCTGTCAACGTGTAAAGTCCAGATTGGTTGGAAGATTAAAGCGTGACTTTTTCTGTTGGAGTTGGAAATAAAAAGCATTCACTACTTTAGACACATTGGCTTTACTCGAGTATTTCTCGTTACCGTATTTCGCTCGTCCGATGGAAAGAAAAAGTACTATATAACTAAAGAGACTTTCAGACTTTAACGTGTATTTCGAGTAATTGAAACTCATTTGAAATATCAGTTTCCCAAGCTCGAAAGAATTTGATTAGACAAAGAAGCACAAAAACAAAACAAAAAATAAAAGCAAAAGTTAAATGTTATTACTTTTAAATAAATAAAAAGTCTTGTTACTTTTTACAATTACTTGTTCATTGAAGTGAAAAAGATTGCCCACGTTCTTCAGTGGTAAATTCCTGAAGCAGATAAATCAAGAGGAATGTTATCAACGTTGGTTTCATTTCTCAAAGGACACAACGTCGTGTCGAGTAGCGATCATTTTTCTAAAACCTTCTCTTACTTATCTTTTACTACTTGCAAGCATCCTATATCGATTAGTTGGCTTGCCAGAACTTGCTACGACGATAAAACTCGTTTATCCGTATATCCGTCAATTTTCGTCTATGTAACATGCTTAATCATTGTCTTACTTGTCAGAAAAAAGCTCAGTAAAAGGATAAACCACGAGTACTGTTATAAATTTTTATATACTTGAGAACATTAATATCGATAATATTTAACATTACAGCCTTATCCATCGGGACACGAGGCCGGAACCAGCGATAAGATGCTCAACCCTGAGGGGTGCAACACGTTTACCACTGGCTCCAGATCACCGAAGTGAAGCAAGACTGAGGATCGACCCAAAGGTTCTGGTCTTTGTCGAAACGCTGTATTCAAGGGTGGGTCGAGAGATTGCTGAACTACTTGTCTATAACCGGATAAAGTAAGTATGATGAACATATTCATAAGAGATAAAACTCAATGACGTAATTGTACGTTTTTTTATAAGCTTCTTAATGTGGTGCTTTATGATATTATTTTTGTCGACTGGAAAAAAAAAATTTCACCGTCAATTGTTCAGTTTATATCTTTTTTACGAGAGAGAAATTAACTTCTCCATTCATGATGATAAAAAATACGAGACTTTGATAGCACAACAGATTTGAAGCATCATTATAACTTTTCTGATTAACTAGTCTTGATGATCAAGCGGTAATGAATGCGTAATAAGCTATTGGAGAAGTCGTGTTTGTATCGGATTTAGTAGTAAACGGAAATGAGAAGCAAGTATAAAGGAGAAAGCGTAAAGATCGTTGGTATATATTAAAGCTTCTATTAAAACTAAGTAACTAGTATCAGCTTGAGCACATGCTGAGCTTCATTCTATCTAAATAGTTTCATAAAATCAATAATAGTATGTTAAAATTCCAAGTAAATACCAGCATATTCATATCGATTTTGTCTCCCTCAAATACTCGAGAGTGAACTGTGATTATCGTGGATAAAATTGGTATAAAACGATTGGAACACAGCGAGTGTTAGAAATCTAATTAATTAGACCTGATAAAAAGGAGAATGAAAAAAGCTGAATTACGTCAAAGGATTTGTCGTGATTATACTGCTTTGAAGGGTAAATAGAAAAAAAAACGAGTGAGAATTGAATCAGCCGACAAAAGTCGATCACTTCATCTCTACAAGGAGATTAGAATAAAAGAGCTACCAATGGCTGAAAGTAAAGAAGGTGGAGATCGAGGAAGAATGTCGGAACGTTCATTAAGATAATCACCAATAGCTGAATAAATTTCAAACTCAGATCGTATTGCGATTTGGTTCACTTCACACATACCCACATTATTTCCTCTTCCTTGCATTCTCTATCTACATTTGTGCGCTAGTTAGGCATGTCGTTTCACTGGTACGAAATAGTCGTGCCAACCAGCCGCTTCCCCACGATGTGATATCTATAATCCTTGCTATCCAACATACATATTATCATTCTCACAATAATGTTAAAGCTTTTCTGTATAATTTCGAGAGTTATCTATATCATGTTGATGTCCTAAATTCCACACCTCATCAGCATGCTTTTAATTTAATGAGAATGATTAATACATAATTAGAAAAATAACCGTTCTAGATACACTGAATTAATATCAAAATAAAACTTAATGGTTAATGAGAAAATGCAATGAAAAATATCTTAGAATGTAATTTTGTAAATTGAATCAATGAATGCTACTGATTCGATTTTTTTTTTAATATGAATGGAATCTAATCTAAATTATTCACTATTTTCGTAGCCTTAGTGTTATAAATTATGGAGATTTATTTGATATGTAATTAAACATCATATCTTCATGAACAAAAAATTCTTAAGTATTTTTACTTTGATCTTTTTATTCAGCAATGACAATAGGGAAAAGATAATTTCGTATTTTAATTAATTGAAAAAATATTTATTTACTACATAGTTAATTTGATCTCTTTCAGAAATTGAACAATAAATTTGATTCAATTGATTGAATAAATTATTATGGAAAAAAAAATTTTTTTAGTAAATTATATATGTAAATAATTTGATTAAAACTCATTGAACTCATTTAATTGTTCTTAAATTAATATTGTAACAGAACAAAGTTTAATGATAGCATACATAATAATTATTAATCATGAATACATAATTATTCATGGTAATGTGCATTATATAATTTTAATCAATACCATATATACCTAAAGTGCCGTCAATATTCCATTAATTTTGCATGGCTATCAGAGTTGAATTTTGCTCATTATCAAGTATACATTGAGTAAATAATCATTGTCATTAATTTCACAGATAGATTTATGATATAAAATAACTCTAAACAACAGTGAAAAAATACATAATTAAATATATTATTATATTTTATTAAAAACTCTTAAAAAGGATCTTATTTTTTTTACTTCTAGTGACTTTTCTCATGTGAACATGAATATTAACACAAAGCAAAAAAAAAAAAACAGTGTGCTTCTGTTTTTTTAAAAAAATTGTACTTTAATATTCGAGTGTATTCATGTCAAGGAAAATATGGACATTTCTTCTTGGACTTTCATTATGTTAAATCCATTATTGTAGTCGAGATATATATGTATATGTTGTTATCATTATTATTATGTTATTAATGTAAGCGGATTAACAAAGAGTAGAAAATGAAAAGGATTAAGAATAATAAAAAAGTATTTGACAAAATGTAACTGTAATAATTACAATCTGGAAATGAATAATTTCAATTAATGTTTAATAATATCGTACTTCAACGAGACAATAGTCTCTATTCATACTGAATGATTAGAAGTTCAATGAATTTAATAATCAAATTGGTTTGATGCAAACCTATTAAATTACAAAGATATGTTCTGATATTGTTGAGAATCTTGTTGTTAGTTGAAAGCATCGAGCTTTTGTAATTAAGATTCGTGTAATGCTCTGTGCCTAAACCCTTTTGATTGTAAGTTCTCCTAAAGAGGTCATTGAATACAGAAATGCAGTCTCGAAGCCAACGAACATTTACAAGTAGAAAGTAGAAGCCAACTATGTTCAAATAGTTAATCCAACTATAGACTGCATTGTTTGAGAAACAGAATTGACGAAATGCACGCCAAGCTTTTGAGAAATAACCCAACTAAATGTCTCCTTAGCCACCACCGCCAAAAGCAGTATTCTTCAACAAGGAATTTATATCATGATGTTATGAAGTTTGAAAACGATGAGGGCATCGTCCTTAGTATGAACAATTACATTGGATGTAGAAATGGAAAAAAGTCTTTAGATTAAAGAGAAAAGACGAAAAGTCAGAAAGCTTCTCAAGACATCCAACATTTCAGACATCTCTTGAAGAAAAAAATATCATCCTCGCTTGAATGTCATACTTCTTCCTATTATGCAACTTCATCTTTGGGAATCCATACAAACCTTTGAAGAGTCTTTTCCACTAGCTATCGTCCCATTCAATAGTTTCATCGTCCATGTTTTTTTGTCTTTTACTTCTCACAAAGACTCTCATGTCCAAGCTTTCATCATGATCAAGTCCATTCATTTGTTCTATTCCTCAGGTCTAAGGTACTGTAGGCATTTTTTTCAATGAACATGACAACTTTTATACTTTATTCTTTTGTTTTTACCTCTTTTTTATTTTAAATATAATCGTGAAATTTTTCAATAAATATGCTGATCAATAATTTCTCATTTAAAATCTATCCTGGCTTCATGAAGTCTATTTTTTATGTTAAAATAACTAGTAAGATATTAAATATTGTTTTGAAATGTAACTTCAGAAAACCGTTAATTAGCAAGAGAAATTATTATTGAATATTATTGATATATAACTGATCACATGATTAATTAAAAGTTTGCAATATACCTTGTTATTCATTAGCAAACAAAATTTAAATTCATTTACAACTTAATTGAATATTCAAGAGAAAAGTAACCACTCAAATTGTTATACTATTGGTTCTTTAATGAATTTTCAAAGTTACTCTTAAAGTTTATTGTTGTAGTGTTGAAGGTTGCGTGTGGTTGATGAACTGCATGAGTGAAATACTTGTTAAAGGAGTAGTTCTATAGTCGATTAAAGTGTCTATCATCCAGAGTGAACTTAAAAATGTGTCGTATTTCATCCCCCTGGAGACTTTGAGTTATCAGCGGGACATGAAAAAAGACCAAAAATACAAATGGACTTTCATTTCTAGTTGAAATTGTCAAGAACCTAAGCATAGACTGCAGTGGAGATTCAAGCTCTAGAGATTCAGCTGAGGAAACAATCTACAGCCAATACCACGTGTTCAGTCTACTTTTTGGTAGACAACCTGCAATTCGATCTAGAGAAACTGGCATTTCTCTGCAGTGAACCGACAACAAGAGCAGGTCCGATAACCTCGTTCACTCCTTCAAGTCTTCGGCCATCACTTTGGAGTGATATTCTTTCGTATAAAATAAACTAGTGTTTTCCAATTTAGAAAATTGTGACGACTTCATTTCTTTTTTGCTCTTGGTTGGCACTTGGAAGCTTTGCTCGGCAAATATTCTTCAACCTCTTGTATCGAATCCGATACTTCTGAACGAACCTGAGAAAACCTGCACATTCAGAGTAACAGTAAAAGAGAGTCAAGACCAACCATATCCTTCATGAATAATTCCAGGTGTTTCGTTGAGAGGAACTCTTGGAAACGTGCAGAATATTCCTGTGAAGAATCTAACGAACAACTAAATCCAGAGTGTTCAGTATATGTCATTTACTCAATCTCTTATACACACAGCTCATCAACTTCCGTTCTTATCTATATTCTCTTTGTATTATTACAGATCGTGACAGGAACGAATTTGATTAAATATCGAATCACACGTGCCCTCTACACACACTTTTATCATGATATCTGCAGAAGAATAACAAATTTTTAAACCGGAAAAAATATCTAAAGTCGGGGAATATTCTATTGAATATTTCCCAGTTGGTCTGCTGAAAATATTGCTTTTGATGAATCCATGAAATATGAGTGCCCATAAGAAAATTCGTTTTATTGATGACTTCAAACATATTGATAAACATTTATCAAATTGAAAAATGAAATTGAAATGAAATAGCTCTGATTATTTTATTTGATTATTTTTTTTTTCTTTTTTTGCAAACAAATATAATAATTTGAATATATCTCATCAAAGTTGAACAAAAAATATGCTTATAAAAAACTGTATTTTATGTTAAAAAAATTCTAATTAAAAATATCTAATTGAAGATATGTAATTTATTGCAAATATATTTTTAAGTTAAAAATTCAAACTGGAGATTGGGGAAAAAGCTGTATTGAAAATATACATGAAAAACGTTTGATAAAATAATGATTTTTCTATCAAAGGAGTAATTTTCTTTTCATTAAAAAATTTTTTTCACTCATCTCAGCTGTATTACGAGCTTTATGATCACAGAAAGTTTAATTAAGATTTATTTTCATTGGATTTCTCAAATAGGTAGATGACAAGATAAGATATTGCATCGATCGAAGTCTCATCGTATCCTGTGAAGCGTCATGTTAGAGCAGTCCCGGTGGTACGTACGTGACTTGAATGAAGGGAAATAGAGTAAAGTCGTATCGTATATGCTACTGAGGAAAACGTTGACTTCTGTATAGCAATAAATCCTCTTCACAAAAATTCCATACATTAAAATTTATTAAAATATTATTGGATACTATTACTACATGAAGAAAAATTTCATTGCAAAAATTATATGATTATGTTGAAATATTTCAAATGTATGAAAATTTTAGTTGCGAACAAAAAAAAAGGAAATTTCCTTCATTTTTCTAAAATAAAATAATGAATAGACTATTTGTGAGAGCTTTAACAAAAGCTTCTCAGAGAAAATAGAAGAATCCTATGGTGTTGCTTAACAATACGACGCAGCTGATTAAAGGACCCTTTTAAATTACATTCTATCCCGAGATACACTCAACCGAATGCAATTCAAGAGTTTGACAAAAGATCGTGCTTCTCTGTTACCGAGTTTTATCAGACTGTCGGGCGCGATTTTTTACTTCAAGTCAATCATTCAGTTTGATACATTAAACAAGTATCTGTAAAGAAGGAAAAAACCATCAATATTGAAATTAATCACAGCTAAAGGTTACTCTCTATCATAGATTAAAAAAATCTCTGCACAGCAACTGAAATATCATAATGATAAAAATCTATTTCCAAAATAGTTTCATTTAGTTCAACCAGCTAGATTTATATCGAAAATCTGCTGTTAGTTTATTGATACTAACTTTGGGCAGACCATTTTCAAAATACTTTTTCGGTGAATGAATACAAAAAAAATCGATTGAAATATACAACTCCATTAGCGGATATCAGTCCATTTTAAAACTCCTCGTGTACACAAGCAAGATAAAAGGGTTGCAATCGTGAGCCAATGGAATACACTGCTTATATGTGTACATAAAAAATATACATGAATGTATGTATGATTGAATTTGGTGAAAATAATAACACAATTGTACCATTGCAAACATCAAGCAGAAGGTAAATTGCGAATGACATGCCGGCACGATGTGAACTGACAAACAAATAAACACAGGACAACAGTACGATAGAGAGACAAGAATTACACTTTTTACCCTCCTAACTAGGCTCTTGTTAATTACTTAATTAATATTGGTGAACGCATGCATTTCCCCGCCACATGATGGATAATTAATTAAGCCATGTCATCACCAGAAACTGTTGAAAAACATCAAACCTATTTCCCATGAAAAACATTCCTAGTGACAAACAATATTATATAAATATTGTTTCATTTCATGATCATTCGTGTAAATGGACTTATCATATATCATTAATTAATTTAATTACTGTTATCAAGCTCTTTAGGTATCACCTTTTTTATGCATAAATTTTAATTTTTGAAATTATTTACTATTTATTTTTATACAAAAACAAATTTTCATTTATATTCAATTAAAATTTTTTTATGTTATTAAAAGTTAAAAAATATATCTTCATTGATTAACAATTTTTATTATGAAATATTTACCATCAGTATTACAATATTTTTATTAATTTCAATGAAAAGTGGTAAAATTATTAGAGCAAATTTAATTTAATTTTATAATAGTTACGTTTCACATAAAACATTCGCCAATATATCATTTATTTTTACATTCCTATTTTTGTTGTAAATTAATTATTTACATATTTTATATTTTAATTATTATGTTATGAATTGAAATAACACGAGTTATTAAAAATGAATCTTCATTCGAATAAAAATATTCCGTGGATCTAATGAGTAGTAAAAAATTATTAACTAAACTTAGATAAGATTGTAATAAGAATTTTCATTTTTCCAGATATAAAGTGGAGGTTGCGGGAAAATCGCTTCCAGTCTTAACGAACCTCGACAAAGGAAGATATGGTGTATTGGTGTTTGAAAATCTTAATAAGTATCTTCAAATGGATAAGTGGAATCGTGAACTCCTTGACAAATACTGTCGAGAGTACTCAGTTGGAATTGTTGGGTTTGCACCACCCGGAGAAGAAAGTCTTGTAGGTGCTCAGCTGAAGGGATTTCCTCTATTTATACACACAAACTTAAGACTCAAGGTAAGAAGGTTTTCTCTCATTTATTAGAATCCAAACAATCCCGAATTTTCGCGATGAATAATGGCTTAGGTGGAAGGAAACTCGTGCATTAGTCTTCCAGCAAAATAGCTTGATAATGAAACTTGAAATGGATCCTAATTTCCATCCAATTTCCGCTTAATCTATCTGGATTTTTGTTAAATAAAACAAAGACTTTGTCTTTCCAATGATGCAATCAATAATAACTAATCTAAAAATTCTTTTATCTGAAATTGATAAAGTTAAAAAGTTCTTTAATAGATTTTTTAACAATTAAAGAAATACTTTGAAAAAGAATATCAACTCAATATTCTAAATTCAAACGGTAAAAATCTTTTTCCAATAAAGTTAGAAATATTTAAACCACCTGAAAAGCGACATTTTCTTTTTTTCATTCTGTGTCCCAACTCGTGCATGAAAGTGAGATTCACATGGGTTTCTCACTACGAATATCCTATTGTTTGTTTGGAAATGAGGCGACCCTTTTTGTTTGCTTACACTTTTGTTTTGGTTGTTAGGATGCACAACTCAACGCAGCCTCACCCATCTTGAGGTTGACCAGATCTGGAGAAACAGCCTGGGGACCCTTACCCGGAGGCGACTGGACTATTTTTCAACCGAACGACAGCACGTACGAACCCCTGGCATGGGCTTATAGAGATAGTCTTGATTATACGAATCAAAAGACTCCTCTTGCTACTGTAATACAGGTATTATTGCTCTCAACTAAATATCTAAATATCTCATTCAATGAGATAAAAGTTCGTTTATCCTCTGATTAAAAATAAATCCGGTTGAATATTTTTGATGAAGTTGGTGGTGATGTGATAATAATAGTTAATATTTCAATGCAGAATTCGTGAGGAGATCGAATTAAACTTGTTTTTAATTACATTACTTGGTTAATTCGATGTTCATGAATAATGCCATAGTTACAAGATTGACATGATAGCAATTTAAAAGATTAATATTAATCTCCAAACTTTGTCTCATATTTTAAACTAATCTGATGTTATGAGCAATGAATTTATTCAATTTTACTGAATTTAATATTGAAAGTTTCACTTAATGTTGGCCGCATTTTGGATCCCAATAATGATCATGAAAAATTAACAAATATATAAAGTTAGCAATCAAATATAGCTCGAAAAAATCCATGTTTGAAGGACTTCCATTTCTCTCAAGTTGATTTCAAAGAACAGCAAATTCATTTGTAACTGTAAATAACATAGCTCACACTGTCGTTGCAATTGGTAGTGAATTAATTAATTAATCAATCAAAATAGAGTTTCATTCAATCGAAGAATTATGTAAATTCAAAACTAAATAACAGACAAATATTGACTCCAAAATATATTAAACAAATTTCATTAATTAACTTGACAATATTAAATAATTTTTTTCAACTCTTTAATCGATGTTCTAAATATTCAAGTGATATTTTAATTAATTGATTGCGTCGTTTATTGAAACCTCTTAATCAAAATAATTTAAATTTTTTGTCGAAAATTTCCTTTATTGATTTTTCATCAATCATGCATTAAATATTTCAGTTTCAGTTCGACCTACTTCAATCACAGAATCAAAAAGCTATCATTTCTTTAAAGTTAATTATATAATGCAGCGAAACTCGATATCATACTTTAAATGACTTTTTTTTGGTCATTTAATGCAGTAAACTTGAGAATTTATTACAAAAGTTGATACCTGAATAATAAGATAAACCATGAGTATAAGTAAATATAGAAGCATTACTTCTTAATTACCATGACTCTCGAAATACTCAAGGCAAGTCAGAATAGACAAAGAGACAACTAAGTAAAGAAGGTACTTTAGCTGTCTAACGCGTAAGTAAAACAATTCGTGAAGCTGTTACGACTCACGTTTACATTTGGATTGGAATTCGCAATTGCAAAATTCCGAGAGAAAATTAATGGTATAAAGAAACAACGTGATCTAAACTGTAATAGGATTAATAGTGCTTCAAAGCTATAAGACGTAATCAATAAAATTAAAAAAAGTTTGTAAAAAATTTCATCTAATTCCAACATTTTTCACGTTAATCAATCAAGCCTTCTGTACTTTAAAAATTACATTGAAGTCTAACGAAAAAATGCTCTAGAAAGAAAATAAAATTTTAAAAAAACTAACCTTGAGTTGGAATTTCAATTTCTATTTTCAAATGATTATTAATTCATTGACTTTTGAAAGAATATTAAAAGTTTTTTTTATTATTGAAAAACCTAGATTAAAACTTTATGGCGTAACTGTTAAATATTCCTGTTAATTAACTTTTAAAATCATGTCTTTTAAACGAAAATTTTAGATTAATGGTAATTCAGTATTATCTTTTATATAAAAAAAAAAATTCTAGTCTTTAATGCGATTAACGATAGCAAATCAATTGAATAAAATGAGAAGGAAGAAATAAAGGTAGAAAAATTTGTGTAATTTGAACGAATTTCACGTTAGTCGATCAAGTCCTCTATAGAACATTTTATATAAAATTGGATCGTTAATCAGCGTATAAATGAGAAACACAATTTCTGATAAAACAAATTGACAATGCCAGTACTGGTTAACGGAGCATTGCTGATTAATCGAATGAATCTACAGCTGATTGACTCCAGATTTAATTACCTGAGTTGCCACTAGGATCACAATGAGTTACTATGGCATTCGCGCCACTCACAGGTGACCCCATAATTAAATTATCAGCGAGATTATTATTGTTTAGTGCTAACAAGTTCACTTCAAACTAGTCGGGGATGAGAATGGAGTTGAGCTGAAGGGTTGGTAGATGTCGGCTAACATAATTAACAGATGCTGCCATCATGTCAGTTGTAATGTAATTTTTCGCATCTATTATTACTTACTTTGCATATTTCGTGAATATATAAATATTATAATATTAAGTTATAACACTGTTTGAATAATTAATACTCCAAGTGGTTAATTTTAATAATGTCATTGAATTTCAGGATCACGGAAGATATGATGGAATTCAACGAGTGTTCTTTGGAAGTGGTCTTCGTTTTTGGCTCCACAAACTATTGCTCTTGGATTCTCTTTCATATTTGTCTCATGGACAATTGAGTCTCAGTCTAAATCGTATGATACTAGTGGATGTGGATGATATATTTGTCGGCGAAAAAGGGACGAGACTTAAGAAGGACGACGTTCTCGCTCTCTTGGCAACACAACAAAGGATTCAGGCACTAGTTCCCGGATTTAAATTTAACTTGGGGTTTTCCGGGAAGTACTTCCATCACGGCACAGCAGAGGAGAATCTGGGGGACGATATGTTACTCGAGAACGTCGACAGGTGAATTATTATAAATTATTTTTTTTATTTCTCATTCAGCAGAAAAAACTACTGCCACATAAAAAGAAACTTTTTCTAGCTAAAGATCTTAATTTATTTAGTTCATGAATTTTCTCCAAGTCATCTATTAAATGATGTAGAATATTTAAGACTTTGAAATATTAGTTCACTACTCAAAGTTAGATGACGACGTAAATGACACATTATTGGGTGGTTCAAAAACATTAGTTCAAAATTCTATCAACACCCTATTAAATCTCAAGCGTTCAAAGACTCTATCATCCTAATAATGTGATGTATATTACAGATTCTCGTGGTTTTCTCACATGTGGAATCATCAACAACCTCATCTATACGAGAATGTAACACATCTACAGCTGGATATGGCCCTTAATAAACAATTCGCAAAGGAACATGGGATCCCAACATCTAGTGGATACAGCGTTAGCCCACATCATTCAGGAGTTTATCCAGTTCATGAAGGACTTTATGAAGCTTGGAAGCGAGTTTGGAACATCAAAGTCACAAGTACCGAAGAATATCCACACCTGAGACCTGCTCGACTTAGGCGTGGCTTCATTCATCGCAATATTATGGTACGGGAAAATCGATAGACTCGACACTGAGAAGAGATACTACATCGCGAGTTGGCTATCAATTTGCAACTTGCAAAAGACTTGAAGCTATTTTGTCAAAATGATTCTAAACCATTCAACTGAAATATTCTTTGAAACGATATCAAAGCTAGAAGAGAGCTGTCTCAAGTAGCTCAGTCAGCAATAAATTTCTTTCGACTGAGTTCAGCTTTCTTGATCAAAGATTAGGATATCTCTAAGACTTGAACAATTTCAGTAGTATTGTATTTTAACGAACAATGTACTGCTTTCAGGTTCTACCAAGACAAACTTGTGGCCTATTTACGCACACTATTTTTATCGAAAGATATCCTGGTGGTCGAGACAAATTGGACGAGTCTATTCAAGGTGGTGAATTGTTCCAAACAATTGTATATAATCCAGTAAGTTAATCAAAATGGTATACGACAAATTACTTTGCACGATAATTGTCTTTTTGAAAGTTTTTTTTATGCTTTAAGAAAATAAATTAAAAGTTTTTTATCACCACTTCATACTTGTAAAAAACTAGGGAAGATGTACCACTTGTAGTTATCTTAGTCATTTCATGATGTAAATAAAAAAGAAACTTGAAAAAGTTTATAAATTAAAATTATGATGTTTAATAATGTATAACGTCAGTATTAATAATAATGATGGAGCAATTAAAATCATTTTAATAACAAAAATGATGTTAACCATTAAAATATATTCTCATTCCCTGTATTATGATTTATTTGATAATGGTAACAAATGGTACAATGGTCACAACTGGTACGTCTATTCTATCAGCGTAAACAATAGTAGAGTAGTTTCTAAAATTTCTAACGAGAACTAATGATGATTAAAGTCAAAAACATTATTTATATAATTTATCATTTGTAGATAAATATCTTCATGACGCACATGTCCAACTACGGTAATGATCGTCTTGCTCTTTATACATTTGAATCGGTCATTAAATTCATCCAGTGCTGGACAAACTTGCGGCTTTCAAGTGCACCGCCACTCCAATTAGGAGAACGCTATTTCCAATTATATCCCGAAGAAGCAGATCCAGTTTGGGGAGTAAGTAGTTAATTAAGATATCATTAGCAAAAATAACATCGATGCTTATTTTTTATCTACTTTTTAATTTTTTTCTTTAAAAAAAATACTTTTTTTTTTTACTATTTCTAATTTTTGTATTTTTTTTTTACATTTATTCCTATCACTAAAATAATTTCCTATTTTCTAGAATCCTTGTGATGATCAACGACATCAAAAAATATGGTCGAGAAATAAAACATGCGATCAATTACCAAGGTTTCTCGTGATTGGACCTCAGAAAACTGGCACTACTGCATTATATACATTCTTATCAATTCATCCAGCGATAAGTAGCAATTTACCAAGTCCGGATACCTTCGAAGAAATACAATTTTTCAATGGAAAAAATTATTACAAAGGACTAGACTGGTATGACAAATTTCATTTTAACTATATAACTTTATTAAAATATAAATAATGACTGATTTCTTTCTAACAATAAATAAATCATGTTATAATGAAATATTAACTATAAAATAAGCAGTAAGAAGTGAATAAAATTTTCTAAAGGAACGCTTTGATTTAATTTAGGTACATGAGTTTCTTCCCAGCATCGAAGAACGAGAGCTCACGATATTTATTTGAGAAGTCAGCGACCTACTTTGACGGTGAATTAGTTCCAAGAAGAGCTCATGCACTTTTACCAAAGGCAAAATTAGTTACAATTCTGTTATCACCTGCTCGAAGAGCATATTCTTGGTATCAACATACAAGAGCTCATGGCGACCCAGTGGCAAATAACTACAGCTTTCATGCGGTAATTACTGCTAGTGATACTGCACCTAAGCCCTTACGAGACCTACGGAATAGATGTCTGAATCCTGGAAAATATGCTCAACATTTGGAACGTTGGTTGTCGTATTACCTACCACAACAGTTGCATATAATTGACGGCGAGCAACTTCGCCAAAATCCTGTCGAAACTCTACATGAATTGCAACGGTTCTTAAAAATTACTCCAGCATTCAATTACTCATCGCATTTAAGGTACGATCCAAAAAAAGGATTCTTTTGTCAAGTAACAAATGAAGACCATACGAAATGTCTCGGAAAAAGCAAAGGTCGTCAGTATCCTCCAATGGAAGATAGATCTTACAAACTACTACAGAGGTATTATCTCTCTCACAACACAGCATTAGTTAAGCTTCTTAAACGACTAGGATCCAGAACGATACCACAGTGGTTGAAAGATGATCTAACTGATACAGTAATGACCTAGCAAACATCAACTGGATCATACGACTCGTGGTTTACATTGACTTCCATATTTGAGTCGTGGCATTTTGTTACTCGGTGATAATGGTTAAAAACAGTTAATTATTCCACTGAACTTGTAAATCATGTGATAAATGTGGAATGATTGTTGTAAATGATACTAGGCCTAACAGATTGAAATTATTTCTTTTTTAACGTGATTTTGATCAAATGGCCAAATAACTAGTCAGTTGAATAATGAATAATTCAGTGAAATTCTCTGCGAGTTAATGTCAATCATGTTTGAATGGTGATAAAATAAATCAAGAACTAAAATTAAATTAAAAAATAAAACTCATTAGCAGACAAAACATCATTACAGTTCTATTCATTGTAAGTGCCATCTGTTTTATCACAAATTTTTTTAACAGTCTGACTGTGTGAAGTATAATCGATAACATTAAACTCTTGCCTTCTCTACCTGATGTCGATTATAAAAAAGCAAAAAAGAAAGCGTGTAAAAAATCTATTGTTTGAATGCTTTCATCAAAAGAAAATATGGAAAAATCCGTTCTTTTTATCGAGTAAATTAAATCGGAGAAATATTTTTTGGGATCACTTTGAGATGAATTAGCAATTGAAAGAGTTTACTGGACCAAACTAATTGGTAAATAGACATCAAGGAAATCTACATGAAATCATTTGCGTGATCCGCGTTTGTCCACTTAATCAATTCATCAAAAATTCCAAATATTAAAATTATGATACTGAGTATACGTATAATAATTATACGTAATTAAATTTTGTGAAATATAATGTTAAAAAGTATAAAGTAAAGTTATCTAGTGATATGATTGATCAATACATTTTTATGTATTACTAAAAAATTGCGATAGATAGATTGTTTTTGAATAAATCTCGGACGATTACGGTTAATTAATAAAACACTGTATATTTTGACAATATACTGATAACAACGGATGATTGTCCATCCATATGTAAATTATTGTATCATGTGTATTTTGATGTCTGTGAAAATGTCTTAAAAATCATTGTTTAAAAAAAAGACAAAATTTTAAAAAAGATAAATTTTGTGAAAAATGCCATAAATAAATATCATTGAATTCTTTTTATGGTTATAAGATAAGCGAAGTAGCTAAAATATAAATGATCATGTTGAGAAATTTTTCAACGATATAAAACGTCCATTGTACAGTTCGAAGACATTAATTATTTGTCTAAACTTTGATTATTTTCGTAGGTAATCAAAAATACGAAAGAAATGCATATTGAGAATAATATTTAATTAAACGAAAATAAGACTCAGTGTTCTTATAAATCCCGCCATATAAAACCTGTAATATTATACTTGTTACGTTTGTAAATTTTTTTCTTAGTTTTTTATGAATATATATATATAATATACATATACGTTGTATGTAACAAATGCGAATATTGTTTAACGAATTATTGTACAAAGTTTATTGTTGTCGACAAGAAATGTGTTTTTTCAATCTTCGTCGTCAAACGTGCCATTCGTAACACCAGTGTTGTAAATATATCCCCTATCGTCCCTTGAGAATCGTAAGTTAAATTTTATCATGGATAAAAAAGAATAAAATTAATGAAATTGTGACTTAAAGAATTACAGTGTAAAGATCCAAGTATTTATTTTTGACTATTAAAATATCGTGGTGTTTATAGAAATCATCAAAATCATGTTAATAATAAATTATTCCTATTAAACTAACGAAAAATGATTATGAAAAAAATTCAACAAGAATCAGTTCTATTCCCTGATTATTTAACTTGCGATTTCTTCATTGTAATATAATATGGATAATTGTATGAATCTATAATAAATTCTAATGAAATAAATTTTTGAAATTAGTTTTTTTCGAATAAATTTATGGTATTTATTATACTAATTTATTGAATTATTTTTGTTCAAAACTACTTTTGTACCATACTAATTTTATTTATAAGATTAATTTTCGTAAAAATGATTTTTTACTTTTTGAAATCTTTTAGCAAACTGTATCAAAGATTCAAAATAAAAAGATTTAAAAATGATACAATCAAAATAAATGGTATTATACATTTTTTCTTTCATAAACCTATAGAAAAATATCATAATTACGATAGAATAGAAAAAACTTTTGGGCAATATTAACAAGGTAAAATATGATTTTCAGTTATTCAACCATATTTTAATTAAATTGATTATAAATTACTTAATTAAATGCTCTAAGCTGATTCTTATATTTAATAATTTAGTGACTTCTGTAATAGAACTCTTTTTTTCAATAGATTTCATTTATAAATGGAGTTATTTTCATCTTCAGTCTCACAATTAACATAAGAATTAAATCTCAGCTTGACAAGAACTTTAATTTACATATTTTGTTCAGCAAGCTTTTCTCTATTTGAATTCATCGAGTTCAAAACTTCCTGGAGTGTTTCGGATGATATTTCATTGCATAAAATATTTGATTTTCTGCTTTCACGATTACAATAATTACGAATACCAGTCTCAAGAGAATCCTTATTCTAGGTTATCATATTTAGGGGCTGTCTCAATTTATTTTCAATCATCAAATAATTTTTTAAAGTATTTTGATCTTCAACATGCTGAATATCTTTTAAATTTAGCTCTACTGAATTAGTTGTTATTATTTGCCCTACTTCTTCGTCTCTCTTGTCTACAATGACGCTACCTCAATAGGATAAATAAAAAAAATTGAATCATTACTTTCTTATCAAAAAATCTCTGCATCGTTATTGAACTTTGAATCAAATATGACATTAAACGTAAGTATTTGTACCTTCTTGGGTAAGTATTTCATTATTTTCTTCAACTATTTTTGTAAAGGGGTTTTGTTCGGAGATTTCTACTCTTCCAACTGTAAATCCTTGACCTGAATTTGATGGACCCGAGATACTTACTAAATCATGGTATGATAATTTTCCCGGTTGAAGGAAAACAGTACTAGAATCGAATCCAAGTAACCTTCCTATGATAGATCTATGTTTGAAATAATTTTTTTATCAATAATTTTATTCATCACTATTGAATTAATAAATAATTTTTAAGTAGTCCACATTTCAAATACAAATATACATTGGTTTTGTTTAAAAAGTTTAAATTTTTCATGTTCTTTAAAAAATGTAAAATATACCTTGGCGGCATACGTTGAGATACAGTAGTAGCTCTAGAGTGATTATTTACTTCAGATTCATTCCTAAGAAAACCATAGTAATCAAGGAATAGGAATACTGGAATCATGGATATGACCACAACTACAATGATAACAATAAGAGCAATATAATGCCAGAGGCAATCAATTAATAAAGTAAAAACAGTAGTAGGTAATGAAGGACGATCTTTAGGAGGATCATGGAAGAAAGGTGCTACTAAACTTCCCGCTAATGCACAAACTACATGGATCGACACAGTATTACAATAATCTTCCAATGAAGTTTTAAATACTTCTCTAGATACTAGATAAAATAGAACTCCTCCTATGCAGCCAAAGAGAAATGCTATAGGGGGTGAATAATCATCCACTCCTGCTGAAATTATAACTATTCCTGCAGTGGTCGCTTGAACACATCGCATCATCATCCAGTGATCAAGAGATTTGTGAATATAAAAGTAAATAACAGTGACAACAATCGTACATGATGATATTGATATCAAATTGTTGATTATGATGTTTGGTAATCGTGTTGTAATTAACTCCTGAGTTTCATTTATATTATTAGATATCATAAGACTCTAAAAAATACACAATAGTATAATAACTCTTCTTATTAGTCACAATTTATCATTTAATATTTTTATAAATACTTCACCGAAGTTCTAAAGCATCTCATAAAATACCTGAAGGCCAAGAGTAATTAAAAGATGGCCTAGAAATGTAGTTGCTACCGATCCAGTTGAAATACTTGCTCTATCCAGATCTCGAAGCTTCATAAGTCTCCTTCCTAATATTAAACATCCTACAAATCCAGTCAATCCTCCAACCATGTGAACAATAGTTGATCCTCCATAATCTCTAAACATGACTTTTCTACTTCGAAAATAATTGTATGACAGCCAACCATCGACTGTCCAAGTCCAATGAATGATAAAAGGTTGTAGGACGCCACATAAAATTAATCCAATCGTAAACGAAGTAATGTTCTGTACCCTACCCACTATACAGGTGGTAGCAATAGCTGATGCAATCATTACTGCTTGCCATCCAATAATAACTTCCTCTTTGTTTACATCTTTATGACCAATCCAATAAAATTTGCCCATGGTGCTTCCTAAGTCACCGGTGTAGGCGAAAACAGATCCAAGGAATATAAAAACAATGCTTACCCAGCACAGGTCGATAATATTTTGAGACAGGATCAAATTAACGTTACTTGTAGGTATACTTCCTATCTGTATGAGCACAAATCCAACACGTAATAAAATAACTAAAATGACGCGCACTAGAGTAATAAAACTTTCTGAATATTTCACATCAATATGTGTTAAAATTCTTTCAGTCATTTCTAAATTACGAAATCCAATTTCTGTATCATCACTATTCGTACAATCGTCAATATCATCTATTTCCGTCATTATTTCATTAAATCAATCGATTAAACACATATTTTCCATGAATTTACTAATGACGTACACCCGGAGTGTTTTGTTATGTTCAAGACGCGGGAACTTAATCAAAATGGTGGTTACCGGTTCGCGAATCTGCTTTTGGAGCAGAAGTGACGCTATTCGCGGAATTGAGCCGGTGAATGCCGAGAGTTCACGAACAGTTCCGAAGTTCATATTCAAAATAAAAATTAAGTTTTGAACAAAAATATAATACATTTTACGTCAACGAATATTTTCAATAAAATTAAGATAATTATATTCACTTTTATGTACTGAATTTATGTAATATTTCATTAAATAAGTACTTTCATCAATATTTTTTGCGGGACGCTTGATATGCACCGGCTTCTGTGACGCCATCATTTGAATTTTTGCACATCGGCGTCGCGCAACGGCCGGCTGCGAAACCAACAATTCAAGATGGCAAATGCGTGAGAGAGCTGCGTACAAACGTCCTGGCGCGCTCCCAACACCCGATCTGGTAGCTTCTGTTTTCGCGTCCCAGTCGCTCGAGAGCGGCCGTTGGTCTCTCTCTTCAGAGCGATAGAAAGTATTGATAGTAAAATAAGAATATTCGTAAATTTAGAGTATAAACATTCATAAAAAGTAGTGGAAAAGAGTAGATAATAAATACAAGTGTTTGAGACTGTGATTAATTCGTGTTTACGTTAAAAAATGGCTGCCACCAGTGTAACGTGTCGGGCTTTAGTGGTCCTGAGACTCGAGGTTAGCCGTGGATTGAGTGTAGCTTCGCTGACTACACCCAGAAGGTACCGGCACGTAAGTCTATACATTATGAATTATACATAAATCATAATTGACAGTTTTTATTGTGGATCGACCGGCAAAGTGCATATGTCAACTTACGATATTTATGTTTCCTGTCATTGGTTGGATTACCCGCCGTCCGTACTTTTCATTCAAAGTGAGCCTATCGCAACCCTCACAATATTTTCGAATGTACTGCAATTATTTTCTAGTTACTCATTGCTATTTTTCTTTTTTTTCCTATGAATCACCATCGACTTATTGATTCAAAAGAATTTACTGATCGCATCATTCTTCTCAACATCCGTCTGTTTAGATGTTTGTTGCGAAGTATGCTTGATGAAATTTACAAGGTATTAACGCCCCACTACACTAATGGCAATTAATCATGCCAAGCCCTCACCTTCTTGTGTGATAACATCGAACTGGATCAATAGATTCTTAAAATTCATAGGGTAGATAGAGTCTTAAAAAATCTAACTGCATCACAAGTTCATTGTGAAAATTACTTTTGCATACAAATTGATATTTCAAGATTGATAAAAGTATTTATTTTAAAAAATCGTCATCCAGTTACTAATTTTTTAATCTACTCTTTAATCTTTTCCCACCTTCAATTTTTCATTTAACTTTGCTAGTTTTAATTTGCAACACGAAACTGGTTAAATATTAAAAGATTATCAAAATAATTTATTCATCATCAACTATCAAATTCCAAGTTTTAATCTCACTATTTCAAAGAGCACAATTTCATATTCATCACTTATTGAAGGACTCCTTATTTATTTATATCAATAATTTAGTTAAACACAAAACTTGGCACTGATCTTAACTTAAAATAAATAACCAATTCAGAATATTTCGAGTGCTGATTCTACAAGTAAATACAAGATGTTTCAGATAGCTTGATTGAAATGATCATCAATAAAAACAAGGTAATATGTATTGTTGAAGTCTTAATGAAAATGTAGACAGTTTTTCTTCATCAATCAATTCAACAAGACGAAAAATTCCTACTCATGCTTCCGTTGTAACAAATAAGTTGTCTGAAAATAATAAAAATTCTTATTAATTCTGACCTCTTTAAAACATTTGTCTTTCCTTCTTTCTATTTTGATTTGTTTTCATTAGCGCAGGATAAACAACTTTACTCACTAATTATTCAACATCTCTTTGCCGAGATATTCCTAATATTATTGATTTTATTAATAGCAGAATTGAGTCCTACCTTTGTTGATGTTGGTTTATTTCTCTACAATAACACTTCTATCTACCACAGGAAAATCCATATGTTATCTTGCCACGTTATGAACTTGATGTAAATTTAATGAGTTGATATGTGTTACTATGGTTTATCAAGTTCACATTTATATTTATAGTTATTAAATACTTAATTGAAGTTCGCAGTTATTATCCACATGACAGATGAGTAAAAATGTTGAGATCAATTATAGCAAAGCTTTAACTTATCGTAACATAATGATACCAACTAGTAGCCGTCACGGGTCGTATCGCAGATTCGTTAGTGCCAAGTGTGTTCCTCGAATAAAAAAACATGTCTGAAAAATTGTCGAGAGCAGTTGAATTTTTATTGCGCCTCGTGTATATCACAGGAGGTCAATAACCTCTAAACAATAATTTTATGAACACGCATACCAAGACTGTATTATATCTTGAACATTTACACCTTGTCTTTATTCGACACTAACTACTTGCTATGACTAGAATAACAGTAATCTGTAGGTGTCAAGCAAATAGTAATACAAGTGTGCAAAAATATTATTTATTTTATTTTAATGATTCTCTCAACGATTATAAATAAATAAAAATTGCATTGACCTATATTTCCATAAAGATTTATAATTGATTTGCAATTTTAATTTTTTTTAAATAAACTTGACACTCATTTAGTATTCTTATTAAAGATTCAACTTTCACAAATAAATCATTGGATTATAATTACACCATTTTTTAGATCGATTGTAATAAACGATTTGTAATATTTAGTAGGATTAATTGTGACTAATTTTTTTTTGCTATCAAAAATTGAATAGATAATGGAGTTAATTTTGTATTTTATTAAATTTTTTTGATTGTCTTCATCAGTTGGAATAAAATTTTATCAAAAGAGAACAATTGAAAAGGATTACATTGTTCCAGATGATAGTAAAAAAAAAAAAATGGAATGAATGTGAAATTCCATTAAGTCGATTACCTAGTTCAATTTTCTTCAATAAAAAATATAAAAAAATAAATTACCCCGTTTAAGGGCTTGAACGATTATGTAATTTTATTAAACTCATTCATAATGTTATATTTGTTTTAAATAGATAAAATATTCTAACAGAATTGTTATAAGTTTTTTTTTTTATAAATAAAGAATAGTTTACATTGTATTTCGAATCGATTTAATGTGATTAAACGATTCTCTTCTTTTTCGCAACCAGTTTGACCGGTATTACGTAAAGTTTACGAGATATCAGGAGCTCCATTTAAGATTATAATTTGCTTGAAGGAAAAAAAGTATCGTTTCAATTTTGACAGCCTTTCCAGGTCATTTTTTACCATGTACATAGCTTTTTTTTGTTGTTAAAAAAAAGAAAAAAATGAAACTGGAAATGATCTTCAATCAGCTGTGTAACAGCTTCCGAAAGAAGTTCCTTTCAAGTTTGATTTCATGTAACATCAAATTTTTTATAAAGAAAAAATAATTTACTATGAAGAAAAATCTGAAAAAAATTTTTCAATGAAAATTTTTCTCGGCATGTCTCTCATCTTTTTTTCACATTTATGATAGATATATAGCATAATTCACTTTTAAAGTTGATAATAAAGATCGATAAGCTTATTCTCTGAGAACTCAGATTACAAATGTGAATGAAAAATAATAGAAATAAACAATAACACTTTTCGTTAGTGCAAAAAAAAAAATGTAAATTATTTTATAATTTTGTATTTAAACTGATGAATTATTCATAAAGAGAAAAATGATAAGAAAAAAAATATCAGCTTTAAATTGAAGGTATCAAATACACAAAGAACTAAACGCATAAAATACGAGAGAGAAAGAGAGATGAAGAGTTAACCGTATTATTTGTAAAATACGGCAAACTTTCCATAAACTCCACCTTGGTCTGACTAATTATTTTTAGATCCAATGCCTTTGACTTTTTATTTTAAAACGTCTTGCAAGCTACGTACAACCATAGACGAATCAGACGAGGATAGAAGCAATCGTTGGTTGTACTGGTTGTACATTTTGCCAGACATAGCAGTTTATAGGAGAGGAAAGGGATGTCGTTTCCGCGTGACAAGACCGAAACGTCTGTTATGTACTACAGCTTCAAAGTAAAAGCGACATTTCTCTACCGCTTCTATCTATACTGAGCTCTATGTTACACATAAAAACCGGAAGTCAATACGGTTCAATTTCTCTCACATAGAAGTTATATCAATGTTGTAATATAATATACTATCCTTAACGATTCTGTCTTAATTTTTTGTCAAAATAAATTCTGATTATAAAGATATATTTATTAGATATTTTAAAAACATCTCACATTCCTCAGGAGTAACTGAGTTTTCTTCAACGTGAAGGTTTTCAAAATGGTGTAAATCCTTTTTTGATATTTTTTAAAATGCTTTTACAAGGTTTCATACAATCCTGTTTCAGATGATATTTTTAATAAAGTAAATAACAGAATATATCTCGTCAAATATGTTTTTTTAAATCGAGTAGACAGAGTTTTAAATTAATTCGTGGTTTTAAGCTGTCATTCATTGATTGATAAAAAATATTTTTTATATGTCAAGTGGTTTTCACTATTGTGATTGTTATTTACCTCTTACGATACGTCATCATTTTCCAGATGAACAAGTATTAAATTATCTATAGTGAATTTTTGTTTTTAGCCATGACATTCAATAAAATTATTGACATTTACGACATGAAAATAGATATATGTTTTCAGTATTTTGATAAAAATGTTATCCATGTGAAGAATGCACCGGTGTTTAGTCATCATAAAAAACACTGTTCGTTAAAAAATACACAGCTCGTATAATATCGAAGGTTTTTTAGATGACAAAATATGGAGAAATATAAAGTTACAAGTGGCAGAACGTAATAAAAATCCAGAAAAAAATATAGCAATGTCAGGTGAATTTTTTTTAGTATAAATTGTTATATCTACAGATAAATTTAATCAAGCTTTCAAGTCTTAATTGATCGTTCTAGCAGTGAGAAGTGTCACTCATTAGATTAAACTGCATTAACTACCACAGCAAAAGAGCTAGG